GCAGGCTAACAAAATACGAAAGTAAAAAATGAAAGAATGGGGGATAAAAACATAAATGAAAGGAGGAATGTAAATAGCTTACCGGTAATCAGCGAAATTGATTGCATTTCCATCATAGATATTGTCAACTAAGCCCCTAAATCTATTAACCATGAAATAAAATCCTGCCCCTAATGTATTTAAAGCTGAAAATACAATAAAGATCTTTTTAATTATATGTTTCAATGTTATTGGAATACTTATGAACAGACCAAATGACATGTCGCCGAATCACTTCGAACCCAGTTTCATAACTCTATACAAATAAATAAAATTGGAGTGTCTGTTTGTAATAATAAAATAACCACTTTTTACTAAAACTTTGTCTGTCTGTCTGTTTGTTCCGGCTAATCTCTGGAACGACTGGATCGATTTTGACGAAACTTTCACTGATAGGTAACTGATGATGTAAGGACTAGCTTCACCCTAGCAAAACTGCTCTAGGTACTCGGTCGTACACTTTTTCCAGATCAACGAACACCTAATGCAGATTCCTGTGCACGTCGCGATATTTTTCGCACACTTGGCGAAGTGCAAATATGGCGTCCATTGTCCCGCGACTAGGCATGAACCTGAACTGGTTTTTGGTGATCTCACTTTCATCTCGTAATCGCTTTTCTATCATTTTCTCCCAAACTTTCATATTTTGTGACTAAGCTTTATTCCCCGATAGCTGCCACAGTCTTGCACATCCCCTTTATTTTTATATATGGGAACCAGTGTACTGGTGCACCATTCCGTAGGGATCACTTCTTCTTGCAGCAGCTTATTAAAGAATAAAGCCAGTCACTTATATCCGTCTTCTCCCAACATCTTCCATACTTCCACTGGTATACCGTCTGGTCCTTCCGATTTTCCGCTTTTCATACTTCTCACTGATTATCTTATTTCATACATACTGATTTCATTCACAAGTCCGACGTTCTCTGGCTTCCTATTAATCACCTTATTCCAGTCGTTCTTCTCATTCATTAATTTTTCAAAATATATCTTCCAGCGCTCTTTTATTTCATCATCTTTCATTAGAACTTTACCTGTCTCATTTTTCATACATCCGACATGCTTAATATCTTTCGCTCTTTCTTCTCTAGCTCATGTGAGACGGTAAAGTTCCTTTTGTCAACGAGGTCCATCTAAAGCGGCATACAACCGTTTCTGAGTATCAGACCTGGCTATAACAACCGCTTTAGTGGCCTTTTTCTTACATTCTCTATACTCATTCTTCCTAGCTTGCCTCTCCCTTTCATTTCCTCTTTCTAGTTGCCACTTTTTGAATGCATTCTTCTTTTCTTTCAATTCCCTCTGTACTCTCTCATTCCACCACCATGTATCCTTGTCAATTATACCTTTCCCTTTTTATTCGCCAAGCACAGCCTTAGCCTTCTTCCTGATATTATTTGCCATTTCATCCCAACAATCGTTCGCAGATTTCTCTTTCATATCCTTCATTTCTAACATGTTATCTATCATTATTTTCCTAAATTGACCAGCATACTCATCTGTCTCTAGCATACGCCATCTAATTTTTGATGAGAGACGGGTTTTCTTTTTTAGGTACTTGTATCTGATCGTAATGTCCATTAATAATAGTCTATGCTGCGTCACCAATGCTTCACCCATCAGTACTTTGCAGTTTTTGACACAGACTAATTTACTTCTCCTAATCAGAAAGTAGTCGATCTGTGTCGCGTGGTTACCACTCTTATAGGTGATAAGGTGTTCAGGTCGTTTCTGGAACCACGTATTCGCCACTGCCAGGTTAAAGGTGGTCGCAGCTTGGAGCAACTGGTCTCCATCATCGTTACGACTGCCATACCCCCATCTTCCATGCACCCTTTCATAGCCCTAATTTGTAGCTCCCACATGTCCATTAAAATCACCTTCTATACAAATCTCTTCACTCTCTGGAATGCGAATCATAACATTCAAAATAACACTTTCACAAACTATTTTTACTGTTATTATCCTATCACTCGTTCTTATAACATGAGCCACGCAATCTTTTAAATCCTTATCTAACACTACTCCCACGCCATTCCTTCTTCCATCACTTCCACTATAATACAACTTATATCATTCACCAATCTCTCTAGCTTAGCTAGCTAGCTAGCTCCTTTCCACCTAGTCTCTTGCAGACATGCTATATTTATTCTTCTCCTCTTTAACACATCTACTAGCCCCATTCCTTTCCCAGTCATTTTTTTTATTGCCTTTGTAGGCAGACGAGCATACGGCCCACCTGATGGTAAGTGGTCACCGTCGCTCATGGACGTCAGCAATGCCAGGGGCAGAGCCAAGCCGCTGCCTACGATTAAGTAATCTCCGCAAGCCTCGTTTGAAGAAGGACATGTCATAGCACTCGGAAAACAACGTGGATGTTTTCCGAGCTCATAGTCATACTGCCCACATTCCAACTTGCATACCTCAATGTCATCTCTCTCACATTTTGGACTTGCGTCTTACGTCGCACCCGCCCGTGATGCGACAACCCTCGTCCACTTTCCACAGAGGCCGGGTGCTGCCCCTGCGCGTCGCCTGCGGGGGACGCCCTAGCCCTGGTGCTCTTCTTTTTATTCCTTCTCATGTTGCTCTAAGTTTTGGAAAAATTTTTGGTGACCGGCCGCCTGCCTTACGTCAACCCTCCTTGGGGATGCTTTCGTTGACCTTGGGCCGAGGTTTTATTGGCTTTGGTCTTTCTTTGGCTCTTAGTCGCCTCCTATGACACCCATGAGCTAAGTTGGGTTAGGGGTATTCTTAGGCGTCCACCACACGCATAACACTTTTAATGCATGTTTGAAATAATTACCGCTTATGTAAAAGTCGTTTTTCCTGGAAACATCAGTGAGCAGTTCAATGTTGTCCTCATCCATCGGCGTGTCCATGTTCCAACAGTACAGATTAGTGCGAGATTCATCCGTGAAAAATAAAATGTTGCCGTCATAATTTCTGTCGTATAAAACTCCTCTTGGATTTGTATTTATTTCACTAAGATCCTGAAAAAACAAGCCTGGTATTTTTAAATACATCCAACATGGAATTTTCCATGCTCTATTAGTGCTCTATTATTAGTAATTATTAAGCCAAAGCTATTAGCTTAAGCTTGCCATAGTTATTATGGAGTAATAAGGTTTAAGTTTTCATGAATTTGAATTTGAGTAGGCAAAAAACAGTACGCGCAAAAATAATGTTTACAAAGCCATCTGTTATCTATGAGTGAAACTATGGATAGGCCGATCTTGCATCAAAATTTATGATATTTTAAATAAATTGCAATATACTTAGTTATTTAAAAAAAAGGGTTGGGCCACTTTTGCGCGTACTGTTTTTTATATATATTTATATAAATAGTGCTCTATTATTCTGAAGCTCATTATGTGCGTAGTATTGCGTCAGCTTTAGTTATTGTTTTAAATACATAAACAATGGCTGCATTCGTCTTATAGTTACAGAAATATTTTAAAGCAAGAAAATGATCGAATTAGCGAGATTAGGGAGTATATAATAAATGAGTAGTTATTTGAGGAATTTTCATTAATATTTTCCTATGAATGAGTTCAATGTCTCATTTAAAATTTGAATGGCACAAGTGTGCCAATCTGTGAATTATCTTTCAAGTTTAAGTTATTCTTGTCTAACTCCGCATAATACTCGTACAATATAAATTACATTGCTCGTGAATCCTTACCACAGTAACATCTTGGCCGGAACGTTGGGAAATCTTCGTATTTTTCAAAATATCTAAATAATGTACAAATGTCTCGTTCGGACTTTTCCTGTATCTTATAACATTTTCAGCGTACAGTAAAATGGATTCTGTAAAATTAAACATCTTTCATTACTCAGGCTCCTTTTCAATGTCCTTGGTCAAAATTGCCAGGAATACACAAGCCATCACTGGTAAAATTTGATTCATTTTCATGATCACGTGTCCCTCCTATACAAGTTCACAGCCAACTTGATGTCAGCCGGTTATCCATTAGTCCAACCCACAACCGATAGTGACTTGAATATCGTCGCCGTCCTTGAGTCCTAGGAGAGCAATGTCAATTTTATAGCACTGCCCTATCCTTCAAACTGAAAGGTTCTACTACCGGTGCATTCCCGATGCCGATCGTAGTTATTTGGTATAATTGTCACAGGATATAACTGCCCATTCTTTGTCAGTATGTACTTCATGACGCAGCAGTCGTATCCATTATATACGTATACATTAGCATACACAGTACAGACGACTTAGCTAATCTGAGCCGAAATTTCGTAAGCCAATTTTTTTTTATTGCTCATGGCCATTATATGCCACATGTTTGACGACGTTATATTTTATAAATCCAAAACTGACATCAGATACTTATTTGTTTCAAAACATACGCGGTATGGGGAAAGTCCAAGCTTCGCTTCCAGTGATTTGACGTTCGATCCTCCAGAAACGTTTTTCCTCAAACGAAAAGGCAATGACAGCGTTACCGTTATCGTCACTGATGTACACGAAGGTTTCGTTACAAGGGAAAATGTAGTCGATCGTCAGAGACCTAAGACCTGTTTAAATATTCATAATTTGAGCACTGTTCATCAATATCGTTGTTGTTTGGTTAGTTAAATAATGTATGCTTCTAAAATGTTAGAAACCCTTAACATAGCGATCCGGTACTTCGAGCTTGGACCAAAACCTGCGCTTTACAAAGGTTTGACAAAGCTTGCACAGTTTGGCCTCGCGTGGAGGACCACCCGCAACTGCTAGCTGCTTTCATTTGACGCAATACAGAAGGAGCCGTTCGGGTTGTCGATGATCCCGCTCTCACGTATCGCGCTGAAACCTCTCAGCTTACGGATACTATCAAGCAGCACTGCGTTTAGTCACAGAGCATTTCCGGGATTTTTTTTCTCTTTATGTCACATACCTTCTAGCAGTGTAAAGATCTACCCCTTCGCTGTTTCTTCAGCGTCATAAGAGGTTGTTGCTTAATAGAGTTTTGAGGAAAGCCTTTTTGCAGTGTATAGTGACTAATTAATCTCTTTGGCATTGTCGATTTTTATGAGTAACGGTCACCGCTAAAATAAGACGGAGGATTGTCTTTTTTATTGCCTTGGTTGGAAGACAAGTATACAGCTCTCCTAATGGTAATTGGTTACTTTCGCTCATGGATGGAAGGTCTGCGGCACAGCAAAATCAAAGCAAAAGCAAGCTTACTACAAAAACACAGAAAATAATATGAAAATTGTTATTTTCATGATTGAGTAATAATAATAACAATAATAGAAAGATTAAATGTATGTTTTCAAAATTAAGAGTACTTTATGTTGCTGCTTCAGCTCTTCTTTCTTTATCATAATAAATATAAGCACTTTTTTTCATATTACCTGCCGATACTCCGTCTTTAAGAACGCTAGCATCTATATCAGATGTATATAGAAGATAATTATCTCGGTCCCGAAAAACGTAAATGCTGGGAGGCACGACTTGTTTTCTTACACCTAAAATAATTTTCAACATTTGATAGAGCACTCAATAAAACGGAGTGAGTGGCTACCTAATCGTATATCGAATAATTAAAAATAAATAAAATAAAAATAAAAAATCCTCTTATTTCACCCATAAAAAACTAATACATTTTACATAATTTGTTCTTTTATATTATTTTATTTTATTTGTTACTATTTTATTATTCTTATTTAAATAACTTTGACTTTGAGTAGATTTGTTTTTAGCTAAGATTAGCGTGAACCGCTCTGTTTGAGGGTAAAAGCCTCCTCCAGAGATGCCCAATAGTCTCTATCTGTGCCGTTTCCATCTACAGTTTACCAACCACCCCTTCGATGTCGTCAGCCCATCTGCTTCTAGGTCTTCCTCTTTTTCTATTTCCCCGAGGGCCTGGTCATGACGTCAGCCGAGAGGTCCATCTATCGTCATTCATTCTTGCCATGTGGCCTGCCCATCGTCATTTTAATCTCACAGTATAGCTTAGTGCATCTATTACTCCTGTTGTTTCTCTTATAGCGGTTTTTCGAATTTTTTGAATTTTTATAATTTTCATTATACTTCTTTCCATGCTCCGTTGGCATGATGGATATTTTGTTTTTAACATTTCGTGTGAATTTCTCGTTTGGCAAGCGTATGTGAGTGACGATAGGAGACAGGTGTGCATGACGTTTCTCTTAATTTTGATTGGCATTTCACTTTTAATAATTTCTTTTAAGTTCCAAAATGTTTTCCATGATCTTTTTATCCTTCTTTCAATTTCCTATGCGTTACTTTTCTTCTCGAAAGAGAGTTGTTTGCCTAGATAGATGTATGAGGTAACGTATTCTATCGAATTATTGTCAATTTTTATTTCATCTTTCAGCGAGGTTGTTATCACTTTTGTTTTGTTGTAGTTTATTTCTCATGTGTTCTAGCTCTACGCTGTTCTTAGATAGCACGACAAGATCATCAGCGAATCTTAACACATTGAGTGCTTACCACTCGTATCCGAGTGGGGAGGGGCCCTATTAGCGGTGCCGCCCACTCGGATACGAGTGAGCAGCAAGTGAATTTTGTAGTTGTCAGTAACCGCCGGCGATTGTGGCGAGTGTATGTTGGTTTGCGTGACCACTCTGCCAATACATTCGACTTACGAAAACGGGTATTGGTTTTATATTTACAGTTTAATAGTGACTGGTACACACGATCATATCAAAGGTATTGTTCGATCAAAATGGATAGTAGGGCTGGGCCATCTAGAAGTAAAAATAGATCGAAAACATCAACACCTAGTAGTAGAAAAAAACGTTGATTGAGTGATGACTCGGAAGGTTCTGAAGGATTTAGTGATGAAGAAGTGTGTTCGCAACGAGCTCAGGAGGAGCAGTTGTCTTCAAGTTCAGAGGAATCTAGTTGCGGCAGTGATGACAGTATCTTTGATACAAGACTGAAACTGAAAACGCTCAGCCGTGGACCACCAGCTCAGTCTTCAAGGTCATCTGCCGCAAAGA